AACAAATTTTGAACATGTGTTTACTCAAAATAATCTATTTTTCTGAGAGGTGGTTTTTGCTGTGACATGTCCCATATATTGAAAAAAAATACTCATTATTTAAATCTTAATAATAATAAATAAATAGTGATGATCTAATGTACTAAAGTATAGAAACAATAATTGTATAAATTGAATTGCTTGATTTTAAATCCACCTAATTCAAGTTTTAAATTAATTTATTATTTTTCAATTGAATGCCAATTCTGCTTAGGCTTGATGATTTAAACTCCGACATGAAATAAAAGAAGTTTTGTATGTAATATAAATAACTGTTTTTCAATTGGATTATTCAATTTTTTAGGACCAGGATCCTGGTTTGTGGTTTTATTTAAATTGGGCCAGTTTCCAACCTCTACCCTTGCAAATATTTAATTACAAATTTAAAATAGTTATGAAAGTTAAACATTATCATTATGAAATAAGGAAATAAATACTCAATCCTGAAATGTTTTTATAATAATATTATATTAAATAGATTACAAAAATACCAACAAGCACATAGAAAGATTAATCAAAATTCTATTTGTTCACCAACACCATAATGATTATTATTATAAGCAGAACTTGGTAAAGGTGGTAAGATTACAAAACATATAAATTGACCTGGTGCAAACATATTATTATCTATATATAGTTAAAATTATATGTGGCCCTGGTGGTTGTTGTTGTTGTTGCTGCTGCTCCTGCTGTTGGATTACAAAAATATTGTTCATTTTTTTAATTTTTTTTTTAAATTCCTGAGTCTTGTGCACTTTAAGAGCAAATACATTCTGCAACAGAAATTGATACTAGATGCTGGTATGCCATTAATATTAAAACTTGCAACACTTTTCTATACATTAATTGGAAGCAAATAGAAATTTGTCCACAATAAACATTATCCTGATTTTTTCTGTTTTATGGTCTGGAATGCTTTCCACCTTCCATACAGCATACATCCACCCATGTGTCTCACTGACTGACTAGATGAACATAATAATAGTTGATGACGAGATAGGCAGACATTTTGTTTTTTTTGATCTACTACAGCAATAAAATCTAGATTAGATTTTGGCAATGTTGAAAGCAGAAAAGGAGAAAAAAATATTACCAATGGACTTGAAACAATTGCTGGACCTTTTTCTTGATTGATGACTTTTTTAAACTCATGGCCTGGGCACTTTTCTTCACCCCCAAGTCACACAGCCTTTTTTTGTGTTGACCTTTCTGAAGGTATATTTCAATAAAATTGTTAATTCTTCATTTGACCAATCTCTTGGACCTGAGTGAATGCCTCCTTCAGACTCCAGTCAATAATCAAAGAAAGTTGTAAATTAAAGTTGGTGACCTCCCTGATTTGACCTTCTTTTGGGCATGTGAATGCTTTATTGCTACTGATATGGTTCTATTATTATTATTCCTAGTAATGATGTTATCCGTTTAAAAATCCTTAGCCGGCTAAGCCGTTTACTACCTAAATTGGTAATTTTATTTCTATAACAAGAAAGTAATGCAGAAATCTATTACCAAATTTAGAAATTATGCATGCAGATTATTAGCCGGCTAACATCACTAATTCCTAGTTCTATTATTATTACTACTGTTATTGTTATCATCATCATCATCATCATCATCATCATCATCATCATTGTTTCTAGTTCTGTTATTATTACTGGTGTTATTATTACTTCCGTAATTGCTACTATCATTATCATTGTTATTATTGTTGTTAATAGTTCTATTATTATTACTGGTGTTATTATTACTTCCATAATTACCATATCTACTACTACTGCTATCATTATCATTATTGATATTGCTACTATTGTTATTACCAGTGCTATTAATTACTTTATAATTATCATATCCTACTACTGATACAACCACTATTACTATTATTATTATTATCGTCTTTATTTTTTAATTTCAAAAAAAGAATCATAATTTTGTAAATGGTTTTTTCTTTAAAAACAACCAAAAAGGGATTAGTGTTTGTACTCATGAGTGATCTGCATGAGTATCCGGATACTTATGAGTATATCCGGATACTCATATCAGTCAGGCGACATTTCACGCGATCGACATGTCTACTGTAATATAGTGCAGGACATCTATAACGGTCAATGATTATCACATGATTTTAAAAGCTTATAACTCCTTATTAAAAAAATTA